TGATTGATGATACTTCCATATATTTAATTGTTTTAATAGTTAAAATATATGAGAAAAGCTATACTAAAAGATATATTTTATACATCATATAATTTTCTTAACATTTTTATATATTTACTGAAATATTAAATTATAACAAAAGATTGATGAGAAACTCAATCATCATAATATATTTCTTATATGTTATTCATTAAAATAAAATATATCATAATATATTTCTTATATGTACACATCATTTTCTTGTACATTTTCAATTATTAATACTTTTTTTAAAAAGATAGGGATTCACTATGATATCTTGATTTTCTTTGCAAATCTACCTTGCCGGATTTGACCATAATAAATTTTATTATTTGTAATTCATCAACTTATTTTTATAAAAAATAATTAGCATGAAAATATTAATAAGATTATGATAAACTAGTAATTAAGCTCAAATTTCAAAAAAAAAAAATACTATTAAAAATAAAAAACCTCAACCTCAATTGACAACATTCTTCTTTGCACCAGGCCATGGGTTGCACCTTAAATATTTGTACTTTATTTATCAGCTGCCACTCAAAAGGAAGCGCTTTGCGGTGTAACTAATACCTCGACCAAACCTAGCAAGGCCACCCATTGACATCGGGCCCACACTTACCTTGCCCCATAAAGAGGCGAGGGCATAGTAGAGGAAATTCGAATCCGAGAATGGGGTTTTCCAAACATACTCGCCCACTAGCCACCCTAAGCCTCGGTGGATAAAGATTTGTACTTAGCTCATTCATTCCTTTATTCATCCATTAAATACTCACAACAATTCACTTCACTACTATGTATCACACTTCATCATCAAGCCTTACTAAAAATATTAATAAATGGCACAAAACAATAATACAAATACAAAATAAATAAATAAATCATAACAATATCCCAAATCTAATTAAACCTTAACTCATCATTAACTCTAGCTAATATATATATTTTCTCCTAAAAATTCATTCCTTTATTCATCTCTTTTCCACTTCATCTTTGGCCATGCTCGCACAACTAGTGCGACAAGTAGGACAAGATCCTCCACAACTAAGCCAAACTTCAATACAGCTCTCATGAAACCAGTGCTTACAATTTGGGAGAACCCTCAGCCCTTCTCCTTCCACAAACTCACACAAACAAATGGCGCATTCAGTCGCCGAAGTCTCCATTATCCCTTGAGAGAACACCAGCAGCCTCGTCGGCACGACAGCCTCAATCTGTTCCTTCAGCTCCCCGGACATGGCAGCTTGCAACTGAGCGCGGCGGGTGCGAAGGCTGTAAAGAAAGCGAGAAGTCGCGCGAAGAAGAAGAAAGAAGAAGATCACAAAAACAAGGATGAATACTATAATAAGCATGCTTCTGTTGAAGTCTCTCGCGCCTGAATACGGTCCCCATCCGTTCATGGAAGAAGCTGAAGAATTTGAAGTCATCGCGCGCGCGCTGAGATCAGTTGATATTGCAGAGAAGATTGGAGGGCTGGAAGCGATATAAGAGGAGGGGAGATGGGGTTGGTTTAATTTATTAATTGCTTATAGTTGCCTTCGAATATGGGAATCGATCTCATGCAGTGATTGGCGTTCCCACATGTCTTTATCTGTCACGGAGCAGCAGCGGTTAGTTTGGTAGAAGTCATTCTATTTCCATTAAATGCTCGTTAATTGATGGGCCAACGCAATTCTTTTAATTTCAGCTTATGCGTTGTTGACAGCGCCTATGGGAACTTGGGATTTCAATATTTGACACGACACTAAAATTCTACTCGAATCTGACTCGAATATTTAGGGTTCGACCGTTTGAAATGAGTTGACTGCGATGCCCGTGGCTGCCCGCACCTGCCC